GTCATAGCAAAGGCAAGTTTTACAGGAAATTGTCTACGTCTCAATTGAAGCGGCAACTCTGTGCCGTGGCAACTTCACCCCATTGGCTAGTACAGTTACGCAAGCAACCAATAAACTATCGGCGACAAACAGACACTTAAGCCGCATATAATAGATACTTATTTATTTCATTTTATTTGTTTTTTCATCGTTGCCGGTTTTTGCCGGTTGCATATTTCCGAATTCTATTATATATAGATGTTAAATTTAGATGTTAAATGCTCGTGCTCTTGTATTTTTAATTTTTCCGGCTTAGCTTTCTCATAAAATTCGTCACGCTCTGAACTGCACGGGTAATAAAACAATTTACAGTTACGCAAGCAACCAATAAACTATCGGCGACAAACACTTAAGCCGCATATATATAAGATTTGCTCTTCTGTGTAATATTATTAAAAGGCTAAGTTTAAATATAAGTCTATTTGTACCTTATAGTGTCTTACGTTTTGGTGGCTAATACATTTGCATTTTTGATTACATTAAACCCATATAATCGAGTCTCCCCATATTATTTAGGTCGACGAAAATATTAGACCTTTGGCGGACTAGATGGGCCATGTGGTATAAGGCGTACCGGCATTTTTATCAAAGCTTTTTCGATATCATCGAAGCCCTAGTGGCACATGGCGTTTTCAACCAAACCAGTCCATAAACAGTGGAGTGCGCAGTGTAAGCGAGACGCTATGGTTCTGCTGAATTCAATAATTTCATCTGCTTTCATCGTAATACTGATAACAGCATATCATTATTTATCTCATTTAGAAGGAATTAGAGTTAAACTTCAGGGACGATCTGTTGATATTGTGGAAGTCTATAGCATGGTCTAGGAAGTAATTGAGTTTTTTATTTCTGAGCGTGAAAATGTAGAAAAGAGTTTTGAGAGTATATTTGATCATGACGGGCAAATGTATAAAATATTAGATATAGAGCTTAAACTGCCACGCATCCTTCGAAAGGAAATCTATCGATATAATGCTCACTGTGATTCAGTGTTTAATTATTATAAAACTATTTTACCAATCCCTTTACTTGACCGTCTCATTTTCCATTTAAAATGTCAGTTTTCAAGCTTAGACTGCATCATCCCTGTTTTGCATACGACCATCAGTTTGCGCTGATCGTATGAATGAAATTGCTGTAAATGAGTTGAAGGTGATATATAAAGATGATTTACCCTCCCCGGAACTTCTAAACGAAGAGACGAAACGTTGGCGATGGCATTTTATGTCTGTTCCCAAACACACCAGTTTTGACATTAAAAGCTTCGAATAAAAGTTGTTTACCAAATATTAATGTGTTCTTGCACATAGCAGTTACACTGCCAATAATATCTTACGAATGTGAGCGTTCCGCAGTGCTTTGAAAAGGTTAGAAAATTATAATAGAGCTACTATGATGAAGAAGAGCGCAAGAAATTCTTTGGCATTAATGAACATTAATTATATCAATAACTTTGTCAATTGATATTAATTATACCAAATAACCATATCAATTGACAAAACTATTATTGATATATTTGCCAAGTTTACAGCCACAAAAAATGGAATTCGGGAATATTTTAAATGCCGAAACCAAAATGAAAGGCCAGAAAAATTTTTGCCTTTTTTAAAAATTTTTATTTGCAATTGAATTTCATGTCCAAAATAAATGATGCACTTACAGCTTTTATGTATTTAATTGAATATCATTATTATATACAAGAGAAATATATTTGATAAATTTATTTATCTTTATAGTTGTATTATAACCAAAGTAAGATGAATTTCAAAATTCTTTTAATTTTAAATAATTTTTAATTAATTAAAAAACAAAAATTTTGAGTTACGCATTTCATATGTTTGTAAGTAAAATTATAAATACTATAATTAACTGCATATATCCATAATTATGTTACATAATTTTATTATTAATAAAATTCATAATATAATTATTATTTATATTAAGATAACTGCCATTAACATAATACATTTCTGACGTAATAATTCCTATATACTTGAAGATGCTGTAATAGGTAGAACAGTATAGCCATAGGAGTCGTAATGGGCACCTTCTCGTAATTTAAGCTGGTTACGCCCATGCTGTCAGCAATCTAGAGACCCTTTCCCTTAAACATAACTCGTGCTTATCGCACAACAGCTTCTAATGCCATCAGAGTTTTAGTGGGATTATTACCCCTTCCCTTACGAGTTGAAGAAGAGGCTTTCAGGCAACTCATCAAACAGTTACGGGGACCAGCTTCATTCTCTGATGAATATTTCCTTTCAGAAGAGTATGAACCCAGGCAGCATGCATTCGTAAATTGCACGAGAAAAATACGTGCAATTTACGAATGGCCTTTCGTATAAAAAACGTTCAAGTTGAACGTAAAAATATCATAAAAAGTGTCCAGTGGCAATTACTAAATATTTACGTATATTTTTACGTTATACTATACGTAACTTTTACGTAAAATTTAGGTATATTTACGCGAGAGACTACTGTTCATTCGCTACTTTTACGTATAATATACGTAAATTTCAGGGATTTACGTATATTTTTAGTAAAAATTTACGTATATTTATCGCATATACGTAAATCTCAATTTTTGCTTCACGTATGCGTATATATTTAGTAAAAATTTACGTAAATTTCCCCGATTTTTTACTGTATATAAACGTATATATTAGGTAAAAATTAAGGTAGATATTCCCCGTATTTTACGGTACAAAAACGTATATATTTGATAGAAATTAACGTACATATTTGCGTAATTTACGGTACAAAAACGTATATATTTGATAGTAATTGACCTAAATCTTCCCTATATTTTCTTTGCATATGCGAATGACTGGTAAAAATTTAATCCGATGTATTCTCCACTTTACTGTGTATAAATGCACATTTTTTGGTAAAAAATTTGCATAAATCTCCAATTACCTTTTCACTGCATTTTTCATAAAATGTACTTATTTTAATCTCATATTTTTTATATAAATCTATGCAAAAACTTTCTGTATGCTATGATTAAAAGGTAAAATAATCATTTTTATATCAAATTCTTACATATCTGCCTTTTAGTTATGTACAGCAATATGGAATATATATAACTGGAAAATTTAAATGCACTAGTAAATGCAAAAAAAAAAAAAAAAAAAAAAAAATTTCTATTAAAAAATTATGTAACACTTAAAGGCTGAAAATTACTTTTAATATTTCATTTCAAAGTGACTACAAAATATGCAATAAATTTTGTAAACATCAATTCTGTGTTTTAAATCAATTAATGCTATCGTTCATTTGCATTTTTGTTTACTAAATTCATTTCATAAATTTAAATTTAGTAAACAACTGTAGCAAACAGTTGTAACACTTAAAAGCTGAAAATTACTTTTAATATTTCATTTCAAAGTGACACTTTAAATAAATTATTTGCTTTTCCGAAGGACATTTTCTTATGCCATGTAAATGAACGATAGCATTAATTGATTTAAAACATAGAACTCAGGTTTACAAAATTTATTGCATATATTGTAGTCACTTTGAAATGAAATATTAAAAGTGATTTTCAGCCTTTTAGTGTTATGTAATTTTTGAATAGAAATTAATTTTTTTGCATTTAAATTTTCCAGTTATATATATTCCATATTGCTGTACATACCTAAAAGGTGGATATGTAAAAATTTGATATTAAATTAATTTTATCTTTTAATCATAATATGCAGAACATTTTTGCATAGATTTATATAAAAAAATAAGAGATTAAAATAAGCACATTTTACGAAAAATGCAGTATATAGGTAATTGGAGATTTATGCAAGTTTTTTACCAAAAATGTGCACTTATACACAGTAAAGAGGAGAAGACATCAGACTAAATTTTTACCAAAGTCATTTGTATATGCAAAGAAAACATAGGGAAGATTTAGGTCAATTATTATCAAATATATAAGTTTTTATACCGTAAAATACAAGGAATATCTACGTTAATTTCTATCTAAAGTACAATATAGTTAATTAACAAATTCAGTAAACGAATGTAGCACAAAAGAAAACATCATACGTTTAGATTATTTGAATGAGTGTGCTAAATTTTAAAATTGTTAAATATAGACCAGGAAATTGTATAAAAACTTACCTTTTCCAATAGTTTACCAAGTTGACTTTGTTATTTTCCTTGAAGATGAATGTTTAATGTCACAAATATTTCATTCATATCTTCAGATAATACACAAATATATACATATTTATTTATTAAAATTCAGTTTATCCCAAACATGTTAAAGAAAATATTAATTTGCATGCAAGTTAATCGAGTAGCTTCTGTTTTAATTACACACATAATTATGATATGTAAAAATTTTACATTTATCAGTCAATCTTGCAATGTATTGTAATCTATTATTGTTGTCTTTTCTCAGTTTAAAATCTTATAAATATATTAGATCAGTACTAAAAGTTCACCTCTACAAAAGAAATGCTTTATTGAGGTATTTTTAAAAAGTTCCCTTTTACAATGTAACTGTTAATTTCATAAATAAGTTCATAAAATTATGCAAATTCAAAATTACCTAAATATGTTCTTTATTTTATCTTATATACCAGATAAAATTTTCAAAAAGTTAATTTGTTTAGGAATATTGAATTTTTTAATATTTATCTCATGTGACTTTTTCTATAACATCATTATAAATGTACATGTTGATGTGGACATACCAATTATTTTTTTTTTCATCAAATAGCTTTATGGTATTAAATGATTTAAAAAGAGGCAACTGGACAAAAGAAAGCAATTAGAAGTTGGCTAATTTTTTATTAATTTGTTGTCAAATGCTGTGCATTTTAGATTATGCTCATATGATGACAATGAGTTATTTAAATTATAAAATTATTATGAACATATCCCACATAAATTAACAAGTATAAAATTTCAAGTTGTTTGAAGTATTATGAACTGTAATACTTGCAAAAGAAATACACATGAAATTAATTTAAGAATTAGGTTTATTTTACAGGTATTCAAAAACTGCAATTACTGTTAAACAATAAAAACTAACATTAAATCTGAAGAGCATATTTTTTTCAATAATAAAATTCAACATAGACTTCATGCAGCTTCGCCATATTTGTTCTATAGTTCGCTGTCTTTAATATCCTGCTCGATTTTTGTAAAAGTGAATTCTTTGTCACCCAATGTTTTGAGAACAGCTCCTAAACAAGAAAAAGAAAAATTTGTAATAATTTCACACTTCAGATGTTTTCAGTTTTTAAATATAGTTGAAGTATTAAAAGATGCATATAAAATGCACTGAGTATTTCATATTTAAAAATTTACATTTCAGTAATTAAAAATTTAATTTCATACTATCACACAGTAAGCTTCAATTATATACCTTACACAATGCCTATAATTTCAAGTAAAAAATACTTAAGATTTGTTTAGAACTGCAAGGTTGAGAAAGTCTTTAATGGCTATGTTTGTATTTAAGTACATGAGAAAAAACTTAATTTTGTATTAATTATATTGCATTAGCCTTTTCAATTTTACTCCTACATATAGTAAAGAATATTCGCTTTCTTACAGATAACTTTTTCTTAAATAAAGAGTAAGCAGAAAACTAATCACAACACTATATACATATAACAGAATACTTCATAAACATATACATGTCATTAACATACGTATATGCATTAACAGGCTATTTTACACATTTCAATAAACCAGAAACCAATACACAATCAAAAGTATTATCAGTAAATTCCTCCAAAATCAGAGCAAAAATCTTTAATTATGATAACAATGGCATCTCAGTTTGCAATATAAAATATTTCAAGTCTACATTCATGTGCATTCTAAGCAAACAAAGCTGAATAACAATAAAATTATAAATACCATAAAAAAGTTAAGAGCCACGTAGAATGATAGCAAGACTAAATGAAGTCTTCCTTCAAAAATCAATTTAAATTCAAAAATTTGCCTTCCTGTTTAACATCTCAAAATAGGGTTACTGCTTTCACTAACTAAATTTCCTGTCTTGGCAAAATAAAAATTGTCACTTCTGTTGCAGGAAATATTTGCTGCAAACTTTGTATGCAAATAATCCAGTGAAAAAATTTTAATTGTGGCTTGAATATTTTCTTTATTAAATAAATGAAAAATTGCCACATAATATTAATTTATGATCCACATGAAGCTTTTTACCTCTACCATATCATGCAGCTATTTTAAAATATATACTCTCATATAAAAGCCACAGAATTTTTTTACCAATATTAATATAGTATAAATCATTAATAAATCTTCTAAAAACAGTCCCAAATTTCTGAATTTGATACTCAAAACATAATTCTACGTAACTGTTAATGTACGCATTTGCTTGCACATACTTAAAATGAATTATACACACAAAAACTTAACATATTAACTTTAATAAATTCTTAATTAGCAGGATGACTCAATTAAGGCAAAATATGAAAGAAATCTACCTGATGGAATAGTTGTAAAAGATATATTTAAAAAAAGCTAATATTGTTTACCTTACACATGGCAGAAATTGAGTAAACTGTATGCAGCTGGATTATTTATTAGGAATAGAAGTTAGATCAAAGTACCAAAGTCACACTAGGGCTTTAACCATTTGGGTGCAAAGAAGCACCTGAATTTCAAAAAGAATAATTTTAAAAAGCTAATAGAATTATATAACTTTTACAATCTAGTACAAATATTAGACACATAAACAACACTAAATGCCATTATTTACTTGCATATTTTCCTTCTTTGTGTACTTTACTCCTTAATTTTTCAGGATATGATTTAGAAACAGAGTTATGGTAAAAATGTATACTGGTAAAAAAAATATTGCTGAAACTGATAAGTCCTTTGAATTATATACTATAGTGCAAAGAGGGATGGAATATGTGACTAAATATGATAAATCAGATTACAATAACATTAAACAAATAACATGAAAAACTGAAAAAAGAAATTTTATTTGAAATTATTTTTTAACTCATGGAAAGACAGACAGTATTTCCAACTTATTAAATTCAATTATATTTTACCTTCGTCAAACCAATATTGGTAAGAGAGTTGTATTTAAAATCGGTGCTAAGCTAAAACTGCTTTCTTGCCTAATTTTATACTATTGAAAATACCGGTAATTGTCAAAGTTATTCGTACTCAATATGTGTAAGATTATTAATGAGTTGCCAAACCTCAGTTAACCATCTAATATACTACATTCAACATTATTATTTTTCTTTTTGAATGTCAGGTTTTCATTATTTCTGCCAATATATAATAAAGATTGAGTTAATGTAGAATAGAAAATTACCTTGCAAGTTAGCACCTTTACCTTAGTGGCAGTACTTCATTCTCTAGAAAAAACATTTTAAATTATTATACTTAAACAAAAAATTCATATTTGTTACAGCAAAACATCATTAACACAATAAACCAGAGTTGAATGCAAATCTAGTTTAACTCCATTCTTGAAAACTAGTTTATTACTTTCAATTTAATTTAAAATAATAAAAAAATAAGGTACGTATTATGATGACTACCTAGATATCTCGCCTAAACTGGCAATCCTTGTAGGTTATACAGGTTAACCCTAACATAGGTTATAGAGGGCACTAAGATAGAGAGTATTAATCCCACACTAGGGACTCTAACATTTGGTAGGAACAGTTTGAAAAGTGAAACAGATATTTATAGTGAACCAATGCAAAACAAAAACAATAGTTCTTTAGGGACAAAGCCCCTTTGGACTAATAAATACGAGTAAAAATTAACAGCTTTTAGCTATTTTTTCTTCTTGTAAAAAATAGACATACAGAATATTTTTAGAAAATAACAGTACTTTAAGCATGCATTTTCCACATATTTAACACAATAATTCATTCTAGCTCTGTTGCAATACTGGCAAAGGTACTCCTCTGTTATTAGGACGGGATTCAGAAATGTACAATGAAACCTCGAGATACGAGGAAAGTATGAGCAAAATACGAGCATTAATTCGAGTAACGAGCAATGAGCCAGGCTGTTGGTATGGGTGGCGCCATTTCCCTATCCGGCTCAACTCGGGGAATCCCCTCGTCAGATCACTCAGTGTTCTTTTATATACGTGTTTGTGCACTTGTAAGTTAATTGTTTTGACATTTAACGTGAAAATAATTATTTCAAGATGCCTCGCAAGAAGATTGTTGCCTCAGATAGTGCTGCAAAGAAAAATAAGGAGGCCATGGCCGTCGATATCAAGAAAGAAATCGTAGATAAACATAAGCATGGTGACAGAATTGGCGAAGACTTGCGGCCTTTCAACATCGAAAATCTATACTATTCTGAAGAAGCAGGAAGAAATTAAGAAACCTGATGTAGCCAAAGGAATTATCGTTGCTTCCAAGCACCATAAAAGTACTCCTAGATGTTGAGAAGCTGTTGTTGGTGTGGATTAATGAGAAGGAGTTAAAATGTTGGTAACAAAGTTAAACTATTGTTATATTATTTACCAGTGTTATTTATTAGGAAAAATTGACTTGATATTAAAATGTTGATATTTTTTGGGGTGTGGAACGGGTTAACTGAATTTCCATTATTTTCAATGGGGAAGCTTGTTTCTAGATACGAGAAATTCGCTATACCAGTTGAATGCTGGAACGAATTAAACTCGTATCTCGGGGTTCCACTGTAGATATGTAAGCATGTGTATATGCATGTATGCGCATATACACATACATACATAAAGAATATACACATGCACACACGAGCACCTACATTTAAAAATGCATGCATATAAACACACATTTCTGAATCTGGTCCTGATAACAGAAGAATACCTACATGAATCATAGGATTTACATTATCATTTCATTAGAATTCTTAAATGCAGAGGATTTACATTAATCAGTTTTATTAGAATTTTAAATGCAGAGGATTACATTAATCAGTTTATTAGAATTTTTAAATGCAGAGAATTACATTAATCAGTTTTATAGAATTCTTAAATGAAATCTTCACTATCCGAAAATTCAGTTTCATTTCCAGCTGAAACTGTATCAGGACAATCTCATTTATATTATTTCCCTCTAACAACTGAACATTTTGAAAACCTTTTCTATTCCATGGAAAACTAATGCTACATTAAACATACATTTTCTAAATCTGAAAATTTTAAGTTAGCTTAGAAACTGTAATCATTCTTAAAAAAGTTTGATTTATGCAGATGTTAGATCAATAAAATTACTTTCCTGTGAAAAAGTAATATGGCATTGAACAACACGATTTTACACATCAAGATATACTGAGTGAAAATTCCTGAAATGTTTTATTTCTTGGTATCTCTGCAAGAATTGTATAAATAAGACTACCTCCCTTTTTTTTAAAAAAAAAAAAAAAAAAAATGTTTAGTAAATACTATGAAGAAAATTGGTTACATTATTTACAGTTCATAATTAATAGAAAATAAATCATTTCTTAGCTTATCAGAATTTATTTTTATCACATTCATAAACAGTACTAATTTAAACAAACATACCATTATGATTTCAATAACTATGAAATAGAAAATCCAAATCTGCATCTTTGATGGTCTAGTAGATTGGACGTCTCGTTTACTACAATTCAGCAGGGTGCTGACTCCCCAGACTGTAATATATATATATATATTAATTTACAAGGGAAAAAGCAACAAAAATATAAACAATTTCTTGGTTTTATATAAGCATTTCTGCACATTTACAATTTTAATTTTTTTTAACTATCTAGTTATATCAAAATACATGATTTAGTAAAATATAATTCAAATAATTTAAGGTATTTTAGATCAAATACTAATTTTTCAATAAATTTTTTCATGCAAGTCTAATAATCAACATAACTATCAAGTTTTGACTTCGAAAATTATGTTTAGAGAAACTTGAAGCTGCAGTAAATAGTAATAAATTTATTCAAAACTGAAAGTAAAGCATTCTTACTTTATTTTCTTTCTTTAACTATGGCAGATCTTTTAAAACAACAAAATCAAACAAACAAAAAAGAAATGCATTCATGAAAGGATATATTTCAGTAATTACAAGTGCATAAAAATTCAGTATATATATAAAAAAATGAACACAGATTTGGAACAAAGTACCTATGTTTCTATGGCATAAAGTTTCCTTTTTTAATAGCACAATATCTTTGAGTTAAAGATTATATATTAAAGCAAATTTATAAAACTAAATTCAAAAATAAGAAATTAAATTATTTTTAGGGAAAACACTAAGCAAATAAAAAAATTTTGAATTTCATAAATAAATGAAAGTTACATGCTTTATTTTTTGGCATAAGGTAGATAACATTTCCATAACAGATTTCTGAACAATTAGTCATGTTAATATTGCCTTTCTTTTTCCATTAAAAGCTATTTCCTGCTTAATTACAGTATGCTTTAAGATAAATATTAAAACGTTTGAGTAAAAATAATATAACTATAAAAAGGTGAGACACATACAAAAAGGAGTGACACAAACAGTAAGAAACAGACTAGTGCAAAATTTAACAGTACCAAATCCTGAAAATGAATCATTAGGCACATGGAAAATCACATTTCCTACACAGACGCTATTTATAAAATTTTATATAGGTGAAAAAAAGTACGAGTATTAAACACTGAAAATATAAAATATTCACTTACTTTCTTCAAATAATTAGTAACTTCGATGGATTCAGTCACAAACGCCAATCCACGAACAAACAGTATTCTTTGCGACTTTACCATTCTTTTCGACCGCCATTGCTGAGTGCTGACTTCACAAATATCCCGCCACAACCGGAAGTAGAAAGTGTCTGCTTTGCCATTGGTCAGTGAACAAGAATTGCAACGTTTTTTTTTTTTCTTTATAATTAAACATATTAAGAAAGCCTCTAAATTAGCATATGAAATAAACTTACTTTTGCATTATATAAATTTATATTCACAGCATCTCTGTATTAAGGTAATAATTCAATTTTTCTACGAAAAATAGAAATGTCTGTGTATGCGCATGCTCAGTGTATAATCGTAAATCCGGTTAATTTTTATAAGTTAGCGTAAAATTAACTATGCAAATTTTGAGTTCATTTAACTGGACCCTTGTACTTATTCTGTAGATCTCCATATTAAGAATGTCTTTAATTGTTTCAGGAAAAATATAATATAATTATTTATTTACATTATTTATTAATTTTTTCCTCATATAAAAATTATTAAAATCGCTATATCATTTTTTCCGTACATTAAACAAAATTTAAAAAAATTAGCCTCATATGATTTTTATAACAAAGATTAAAGGAACTGAAATATATGTAAAATATCAGGATTCAGCTTGCAATTTCGTAGAGTTATTATTATTATTATTAAATAAAAATATTAGTATATCTTTGATTATAATTAATGATCCTTTGGTCTACATTAAACTATTGTTCAAGAAGTTAAACGTTTTCGAGCATCTTCTGCTGTATTTATTATTCTATTCCTCGACATGAAAGATTTGCTAGTCTTATTCCAATTTAATTGCCCACATTTGCTAAATAAAATAAGGAGAGTATTGTACCAAACTCAGTAAGTACACAAATTTAATATACAGCTTATTCCAGTTAAATGGGTAATAGGATTTTCATAAAAGAAATTAAATTGTGTAAATTAATGTAAGTGTTGATATGAATAAAAATAACAAATTTGATATAAGAAAATAAATAAGTTATTTTGAAGATGTTTGAATTAAGAAAATATAATTTTTTGCAAAAATGCACGTAAAGATTTAGCTCACATGTTAAAATTTATAGAAAAATTTTAGCCTCATATATGAATGCCCCTTTTTTCATGTTCGTGGACAAGGAAAACAAAGTGAAATGCCAGAAATACACTAAATATTTTGAATTAATAAACTTCATTTTCAATCTTTTTAGACTTCGTATAATATCCGTAAAAGTGACGAATAAAATATACCATCATGGCGGTAGTTTTATCAGTACATTCGGATTCGTATAATTTTCGTAAAAATAACGTGTGGAAAATAACGATCAAGAGTCAACAGTAACTTCAGCCTTTTTCATTCGTATAAATTTCGTAAAAGTAACGTGCAAAAAATACCATACCCTTATTTCACCAAAATTATACGTATATTTTTGGAGACGTGCTCGCTGATGATTTGTACCTCCTCTTTAAGGTGGTTCGATCAAGTCACCAGATCTAAGCTCATTTTCGAATGGAAAATACAACGCTCGAAAAAAAAACAGCAGGTTTGCTTTTGCGGAATCATATAGTTACATCATTAAGGTCAACTGTGCTCTCAAAATTCAGTATTCCAAGGTAAAGCGATTGCTCTTGCACAAGCCTTACGCTACTTAATCACTTAGGTATTAAAAAAGCAGTTATAAAGACAGACAGTCTATCGTCGTTGCATTCTTTGGGTAATCCTGACCATCCCTCTCCCATCATCCAAAACATTTTTGTATGATCTAAGAGAGCACTTTCCTCATCAGCTTAAACTTGAGTGGATCAAAGCCCATGCTGGGCATTACGGAAATGAAACGGCAGACAGTTTAGTCAAAGAGGCAGCTTCAGGCAATGCAGACACTCAGGTCAATATCCCGGCCCATTTCTTATTTAAAGAAATGCCTGAGATTGAAGGCTATTGGACGGTGGCAAGAGGAATGGGACCAGGCTCAAACGGTCGACGAACGCAGTATCACGTAGCGTATGTGGACACTGAACGTATCATTTCAAACCCTCAGCTCGTCCGATTTATCACTGGTCATGGTCCATTTTCGCAATATTTTGCAAAATGCGGACTCAGCCATACTGACTGCTGCTGCGGAGATATTGGGTCCCCAGAGCATTACCTGACAATTGACAATTGATCACTGACAATTGATCTTCATATTCAGCTGCCAACTACCAACAGGCAGGCGTTCTGCAAATTTATCATAAGGCAGAGATATCTGGTTATAAATATTGTTAATTTAATAGACAAACTGTCTGCGCTGGGCATGGACTTATGTCAGACAGCATAAATTCTCCTGCTGCCATAAACGTTGAAGGGGTGCTATAGATAGTGGTGGACGTGGTGCTATACTAATTAACCGTTTGGCAAAGGGATAGTCCCCACGTCCCTCGTTCTCTCTCTCTCTCTCAGGTCAGGAAGTTTCTGTACTGAATACGCTATTCAAAAATAGTAAAATTTAGAGAAAATTTATGAATAAGTGTACGCATCCACATAGAGTAATTGGAGATTCAACCGCTACAATGAACGCGCTTTAAGAAATTGAGAATACTTAGCATGATGAAGATATACGTTGTAGATGAACGATAAACAAATTCCAGTACCCAGGGTATTCACAGCCATACAAAAATGAGTAGACAATTCCGTAAAAAAATTATGTAATCTGGTGATTTGATTGATTGGCATTAAACTTCCCTATGTTATGTTAATATAACCAGTAAGTTTCATTATGATTTAGATCTTTTACTGTCACTTCTTCTTTCCCTAACAGAATGAAAATCGGGTTTGAGAATATTTGAGGTGAGATTTTCAGATTGTATGAGAGAGTCTGTTTCTGCCTTTCGAGGCCACGTTATTAGGTTTTTGCTACTTGTAGATAAGATAAAATTGTATTATTCGGTTTTGGCTGCCGTAATTTTAAATTACTACTCCAGTGAAAAGTTTTGAGCCAACTTCGCATTAAACCAATTGTGTTACTAGGCTTAGTTTTAAATTTGAAATTTACTGTTATTTTAAGTCACATTGCCACAAGTGGTTATACGATGTTGTCAAGCACGAGACGCGCATTTTATGTTCAAGTTCTGATTTAAGTAAAACCTTTCCAAGACTTTAACTTCAGACACAGCCATAATTCTTTCCAAGTCTGTTAGGGGTTTGATTCCAGTTTATGCTATCAAAGAATATTAAATTCTATAAACTGAGTGTCAGTGGTATTCCACTTCTTAGGAGATGTAACGTTTGCTTAAAAATGACATAGCAACCGCGAGCGCCTTCTGGAAGAGTAACGGAAAAAAGTTCTGCTTTTCCGAAATGGCAACAAAAATTATATTCTAAAGATATTTGCATATAAGGCATTGAATATTTTATGAGGGAGTAGCTAATATTTTTACCCTTTTTAAAGCTTAAATAAAATTGTTGATATTGTCAAAAACAGTTTGTTTATTTTGAAAAACTTAGCTTTCTTTTCAAGAACCATTATTAACTGAAATTTAGTAAAGTGCGGAAAGGAAATATATCTCAGCATGGAATATGGAATGGTAAAAGAGTACGGCTGTGTATGGATTTTCATACACAAAAAGAAATGGACTTCACACTAGAAAGAGAGGAACAGCAACAGTTTCTAGGGCAGTGGGGAAACTTTACCCAGTCGTTCACGAAAATACAATTAGTTACAATTATATCGGCTAGGTAAATACAAGTACTTTTCACAAAGACGGGTCTTAATATCGTATTCATCGTCCTCTGAAACGTGGCAGGAGTTCCCCATAAGCCAAATGGCATTCTCAAAAAAGCCACAAATGCCTAACTTTGTAATAAATGTGGTTTTTGACACATGC